CATTTATCCCTTTGCATTGTGATTATGTTTTTTTTTAAAAGATTTTTATTGGGGAATTGGGGGGATGGGAACAGTGCTGGGGAATTGGGGAAAGGGGAACAGACAAGTTGCTGTCGTTTTGTTCTTCAATCTAGTTGTGGAGGACGTTGCTTCACTGGCCCAAGTTGGCACCATCATTGCGCTCTTCTCTGGCGAGGCAGATCAGTTGCCGGCTTCTGGACGGCCGCTCACTGCGGCTGCTGGCCGCTCACGCTGGCTGCTGGCCACACACGGTAGCCCATGGCAATCCACTGCCACAGGGACTGCAGCCCACGCCGTCGCCGGCGACTCATGGCAGCCCAGCTCCAGGTTGAGCTGTTGTTCAGCATCTTAGCTGTGGAGGGCAGTGTCACTGGCCCTCATATGTGGGATCCGAACCGGGGCCCTCTGGCATCCCAAGCGAGTTCTTAACCATCGCGCCACTCGGCCGGCCCGTGATTATGTTTTTAAATGTCCACTTCAGTCAGTCACTCAGTCATCCAGTAAATATCAGTGACCACCCATTTTTTTTCAACTTCAGTAACATACAGACACTTGAAGAATTTACTGAAAGCAATGGACCCTGTTCCGCAGATACATTCAACCCATGAGCACTAAACTGGCATTACAACTTCAGGGCTTCCAGGAACTCCTAGAGAAATTGGCAAGGATGTTCAAGCAGAAGAGGTCAAATCATGTTGGCATGGCCCAGGGTGATGGGCTCAGCTACCAACTTAAGTCACATATGTCTTCTGCAGAGCTCATCAACACCCACTGACTGGGTTCAACAAACACCCAGAGCCCTACAACTCCCAAATCTAGGTCTCCAGCTTAGATTTGGAGCTCCACGTCTGCTCTTGCAAATGCCTACTTCTCTCTGTGGCTACCCAACAGGCACTTCCAACTCAAGATGTCCTAATCAGAATTCCCTGGAGCAGACACTGACAGTGCTCTACCCACATCCCTCGGCTGCTACAGACATTCAAGCTGCCAGCCAGGATCCTCTCCCTATACTTGAGGACTCTCTGCTTATGCTAGGTGGCAGGTTGAAATTCCCAGAAATTCAGCACCCTCTGGGCAGCCCTCAACCAGCTTCCTCAGTTCTTGAGTGGGACAATTCTGGAGTGGGTGTTTTGCATCGTGTCCAATAGTTTGCCTGCAAGATTAAGCTCCACTTGCCCATGGTAGTAATTGGCTTTGATAACATTCCCCCTATTGTCTGCTGCCTGTCTATCTCCCCTCCCCATTCCCCTACCAGTGTTTCCTTCACCTTCCAAATCAACTTTCTGCACTCAGATCCTCGTCTCATAATCTGCTTCTGGGGGAACCTACGGCATTTATCATTTCCAGTCCCAAATCTGCTTCTCTTCCTAGGGACCTCTATCTCAGTGACCACACTCCCACCCACCCTGTTACCCAATTCAGAAAGTCAGGTGTCCATCATTCTAATTCCTCCAGTTTCCTGCATCATTACGTCCTGTTGATTTTATTTCCTGAGTACCACTTGACTCAAGTTCTGACCCTTCAACTCTGCTGGCCGTACCTTGACTCCAACTCTGATCATTGCCACAGTCTCTCTCACCTGGTGTCCCTGCTTCCAAACTCACCCTCTCCAGTCAGACCTTCACACCCACCACTGGAGTGATCATTCCTCAACCCGAATTTTTCCTGGTCACTTAACTCCCTTGCTTCAATTCTTTCAATGCTCCCCATTGTCTATAAGAAAAACTACAGGACAGACCAGGAACCTCAACTGACCCCTAGCTTCCTCTGCACCCCGTACTGCTATTCTTCACAGCCTCTACTCTACCCTCACAAAATATTTGCAGCCTCCAGTATGTGCTTTGCATCCAACCTTTGGTGCCTACTGTTCCCTTCACTTGTAATGCCTTTCCCTTACTTTGAAAAACTCCTATTCAATGCTCAATGCTCAACTCTTGTCACCATCTCTGTGCAATCTTTCCTGACTGCCCTGCTCCATGACATTCCCTATCCCTTCTCAGTACAAGGGTAGGCCCACTCCTTCGGTGTTCACCTGGCCCATTTTATAACTCTTCATGTCCCACACAGTGTCTCATTGTATTATTAACACTTTTATTTACTGGCCTGTGAGCACCTTGGGGTCAGCAACCCTATGTTAACCATCTCCCTAACCATAGTCCTTAGCTCAGTGACTGGCATACATCAAGTGCTTAATAGATGTTCACTGGATAAATGAATGAATCATACATCTGGCAAGTATGCGAAAACGAGATCATGAGGAGATGCTGTATTACAGAATCAGGACAGAGACAAAGGAATCAGATCTGAGATGGAGAATTTCTTGAGTCCAAATATTAGAATTAAAAATCTCAAAAATCAACTTGTGCAATGAAGATTTTTTTTTTGGTTCTTTCCTGCTGTTTGGGATGTCCTTTCTTCCTTCCATTTTCATAGGCATCCCTTTAACTGTATGAACACAATTCTTCCATGTCCTATTTCTGTCTGAAAACATCTCCCTCGCATTCCAGACCCTTTCTTTGTGAACTCCGTTTTTCCCCTTCCCTCTGCAAGGGCAGTCACGATGAAAATACAGAGGGGTGCCACTGTACATTTCTTTGGGAATAGGGGCTATGATGCCTGTTTATTATGCATTAATCTGAATCAATATAGTCTTTCCTGAAAACATAAGCACCTCAAAGGGCAGCAAATATGAATCACGAGTGCCAGCGAGCATCAAACATTAACCCAGGGTTGTGATGAGGCCAACAAAAGAAATAGGCTAGTAATTGCCTTCCAGGATATCAGTCCCTATCGTATACACACATACCCCCTCAATACACACAAAACCTTTATGGATCTTTCATCCATGAACTTGTCCCATTATAATTGCCCAGCTGTGTCTTTAGTTTTATTCAGGCTAGGTCCTGGCAACGGAGCCCTCACATACCTGATCCAAGAGCTCAGAACAGTTATGAGATTCATAGAGGAAGTCTTTGGTTACTGAAGTAGCTGAAGACATATTCACAGACAAATATTTCCACCTGTATCATTAGTTACTCAGAGCTGATTTAAAACCCCAAGAGCCTGATTGAAACAAGTAGGATCTGGTACATTCTGTTGATGTTCCTTATTATCAATTCTTAAACTTGAACAGTGTGTCTTTCTGCCCTGATGTGGATTGGGCAGTTCTTAAATTAACTCTTTTTTCAAGAGGAAATTCCCTATCAAGGAATGGCACCACCAGGGCTGACCTCTCTGTTAGGGCAATAGACACGGTGCCTGGGGCCCACAGTCCTTTTAGAGGCCCAATGGACATGTTTTAATTTAAAATCAGAAGAAAAGGTGATCTTTTAAGTAGAAGAAAATGTCTTAATATATAATGTTAATATAGTCGTCTTTACACTAATGCAATTGAAAAATGTAATTTTTACTATGTTTTTATGGAGGAATGAGTCCACAAAGGCAAAGTGCCTATGAAATTCATAATGTGGCCCTGCTTTCTACTCTATTATGCTTATAACATAGCAAGGTTCAAATAGAACCTTTCAAACACAAGTTCAGGTTCCCATACTAATTATAAATTTAACCAGGCTTTTCTCTCTGTGCATTTCACAATCCGGTCGACCACCCCAAATTCTACAAGAAGGAAGTCATGGTTACTACTCACAGTGTTGGGACTAAAGGAGGTTTGAGCATGCAAAGGATAGCTAGATTCAGATGGCTCTCTGCTCCGATTAAAGTAATTTCTGCTCTGCTAGTCTCTCAAATATCTTCATCCTGTTTTGATTAGCAGGAAAAAAATCTACATCTTTAGGGATCAATTAAACCAATGGAGTTGCTTCCTTTTCTGTCTTCAAACATTTATAGGATTTAGGTTTTTTATTTTGTTTTAAAATGATCAATATTACTGCTGATACCTATTATTTATTTACTGGTTAGTAACCATATATTCATCATCTCTGTCTATAACTCCAGTTCTTAGCCCTGTGTCTGGCAAAACAGTAGGTGCTTAATAAATGTTAGATTCATAAATGAATCACCTCTCAATTACATGGAAATGAGATTATTGTCCGGGTACTAATTTTGTCTTCAATAATCTCACACCTTGTGAGAAGGACCCTGAACATGTATCACAATTGACATTTTAGGAGGTGATCCCTGGGCCCTTCCCACCTCTCCAGCCGGCCTCCATCAGCCAGCCACTTCCTCCCTCCTGGGCTCTGTTCTCACTCCTCTCCATCCTGGGATCTGGAATGGTCCCCAGGCCACCGGCCCTCCCAGGCGTCTCACCACTCTCACCCGCCACCCCGCGCCCCGGGTGCCCCTTCCTCCAGCCACCCCGCGCCTCCTACAACCACGCCCTCCCCGTGGGCGAGATCACCTGTCCCTCCTCCGCCGCCGCCTCCTCGGGTACCCTTTCGCCCCCCTTCTGCTCCCCTTCCTCCGCCACCTCCCCCAAGCCCTCCCCTGCCCCGCCTCCTCCCACCCCTTGGTGTATATAGTAAAGGCTGGGCTCCGCACGCAGACACACACTCGCCCGGACACAGGCGCACACCCGCTCACGCACAACCGGCAGCGGCGGCGGCGACAGCAGCTCCGTGACAGCGGCGACGGCGGCTCCCACCGCTGCGCATCCTCTTCAGGCGGTCCGCTGCGAGGCCGGACCCGAGAGTTCCCGCACCCGCGACCACCCTGCGGCTTCCTGGTGGCGGAGGCTGCGACTGCGAGGTACCGCCCGCAGAGCCCCCATATGGGCCCGGGTCCCCCCCCCGCCCTCCCCGCGCGGACCTGCCACGGGACGCAGGGGGCGCGCCTGGCAGGGCGCGCCTGGCAGGGCCCGGCGCCCGGGGAGGGGCCTGCTTCTGGGGGCAGGACGGCGCCCGAAGGCCGGGGCCAGCGGGGAGGGCCCGGCGGGGGCGGGGACGCG